CCCACAGCTGAACTGTACAAGCTCAAGCAGTCTGTGTGTTTTGTTCAAAGTTATCCTGGCAACATGTAGATGCACAACTATGTATTTGTTTATTAAACAGGGACCAAAGGACAGTCATTGACTGTCCCAGAGTTAGCTACAGTGTAGCAATATTTCATCAGCAGTCCCTCCAATAGAGACACGTAGCTAAAGTGTGTACAAAAAAAAAAAAAAGAAGACCACTTTAACTGTATAATATTGCAAATTGATGATTCTTACTGGTTTCAAACTACAAGATGGATTATGCTTTTAATATCCGAGCTGCTACACAACCACTACCGTAGTGCCCTTAGGCAAGGCACTTCAAATCTTGTCCTCCCAGCATGCCTGCTGAAACATGCGTTAAAAGAAAGCCTCGTGTTTGATGACAAACACTGTGAACGGGTTGCTCGGATATACAGCAAGCATGAATTTCATGTGAAAATAATATGGTGAAAAATGTATCCACCAGATAGAGAATGTTGGAAAAATAATAATAAAGCCCCAAAATGGAGCATCTTTGAGACATTTTCATTGTATTGCTAAATAAAAACACCTCACATTTGCTGTAGTGTTTTATACATCAGTGAGACCCACAACACACAAACTGATGAACAGCACAAAAATGAATCCACGTTGTGAAGGACACAACTCCTCAGTCGATATAAACTACACCACTTCTGTACCAGAATAAAAGTATAGAACTGCAGGCTTGGATGTCTATCACCGCTCACCTCCCAGACCGACTGGCAGGCCTTCCTGTGCTGAGGCCCGAGTGTTTGTTTGGCCAGCATGTCCCAGCTCGTGTGAGCTCTAAGCTTGGTATGGGTCACTGAAGCCACCGTACACACACACACACACACACACACACACACACACGCGCACTTCCAGGAAAGGAGGCCCGCCGTGATGTCGAGAGGTGACCAGTGGCAACGCTGACCTGGGCCGCCGCTTGACAACACACCGGAGAAATGCTGACGTCACTCTGCAGCCATACTTTTTCCAGGGTCTGTTTGCCCCGGGGCTGGACTCAGTAGTAATTTAGGAATGTGAGTCGACCTTTTGCTTTGACCTGATCACTGACAGTAACCACATAATGGGAGGAAAGCCAGGGAAAAGGGTACATCCTGTGAGGAACAATGGTATTTAGGGGCTTTTTTAGGCTGTGGAGACCTGAAACCTGGTCCGCACCATCATATTTAGGGCCTAAAAAAAAAGTGAGACCCAAGATCTGGTTGTAGTTATTCCCATTTAAAATATACATTTTTATTTTACCACAAATATCAGAGTAAAATTTTGAATAGAACACCATAAAATCTATTTGACTCATTCCAAAGCACATCAGCAGATTCAGTGCAAGGTAACTCATCACAATCCATTCTTCTTTCATGTCGAGTGACATTCAGTAAACCGCTGCACAGATGTCTGCCGACTCGCAGCACAGGACACTACAGCGTCTGTCTATCCTTCACATACCTCAAAACCGCTCATCCGATCTACTTCACACTTGGCGTGTGTATTGTCCGGGTTTATGTCAGGTAAACGAAGTAGTACAATGTTTTCCACTGAAGTAGAAGTACATAGTAAGTTGTATAAAGTTGAGTTACATATCTTTAAGTGCTTTCTGGGCTTTTTGCAAGGTATTTCGGGTGTGCAATGAGTTAGAATAGTAACAAATCAATATTTTTTGTATCTAAACATATTTAATCTATGGCTCTTTGGGGCCCTTTCAGTTGGAGCCCACCTTGCCTAACGGTAAAGTCTGCCCCTGGAGTTTTTCCACCGCTGTTTCTGATTGTGAGAAGCTGTGACTTGGGTGTGTGACGCAACTATGTCACGGCAGGTGTGTTGCTGAGGACCAAAGACATCTCTGTGCAGAGTGTTAAAGTAGTTCATATGAGCGGTTCCTCGAGAAAGCTGCAAGCGGCACCACCACAGGCCGGGCACCCTGCTCGTTTTCTACAGGCTCTGCACTCGTCGTCACTGAATCACGGAGGAGACGGAGTGTCCTGAAACAGAGAGACTGCACAACCACATCACTGAACACTTAAGCCGCCAGCACGTCTTCTCAAACTCCCCCCCCCCCCCCCCCCACCCCCCCCCCCCCCCCCCGAGACAAACGTCTTGGCCTCGACTTGTAGCGCAATTGTGCCGTCTCTGCTGCTGGTGCCGATGGCATAATTTGGTTTAATGGTGAGACAGTAACACAACAGAGTCCTTCCCAAAGGAAACTAACAGCGTCAGTTTTCTAACTAAACGCGGCTGTGGTTCATTAGCTTTTGGTCTAACCGGTGTTATTAGAGCTATTTGAATCTGCATAAAAAAAAAGACGTCTCGTTGTTCTTCCTGTAATTACAATGGGCTGACTCAACTTGCCCACGACCAAATGGTCTTCCTCAAAGGGCAATTTGGTCTCGCTGGTAAAAGTCAAACACTCGCTTTGCTGGGACCACATCAATGTCAGGTGGAGCCGCACATTGACAAGACATATGGGGCGTGCACACACACACACATTTACACTCACAAACACATAAATACACACAGTCATAAACAGCAGCCTAGCCCATACCAGACTTAACACCAGCTAATTGCTCATGTATGGCTCCTTTCACTCCACAAACACACACAGTGTGCAACAAAGCGTGCTGGCTTGCTGGCCGTCTACAGCTGTGACGTCGAACATGTGGCGCTGTGTTGATATAAGGAGTAACACAAGTGGAAAATTGGTGCTGGTGGGGCCAGACTGCTGACTTCCTGATAGGAAGAGTGGAGTGGAGGGTTGACCCATATATACATAAAATAGTCAACAGGCTGCTCTACCAAGGGAAATACAGACAAAGGGTCTGTGTAACTCCAAGCATAATGTAATGTGGATGTCGATCACAGTTACCCAATGGGATCCTTTGGTATTATATTATATTGATAACATGGGCCTTCTTACAAAAACAGTCAAAGTAAAATGACACACACCACAGTGATGTCACTTCAAATGTTACACAGCTTAATTTAGAGCTTTTCAGTCCACAGAAATCAAAGGAAGTTGGTATGAATCACAAAACAACTAAAATGGGAACTACTGAAAGAACTCACAAGCCGTGCTGGCTTTCATTGAACAGACAACCAACAACAATTTGAACTCCGTTTTTTTTTTTTTTTTTTTTTTTAGCTTAACAGCATAACCAAACCAGAGAAGCATTTATAAATAGTCAAAAGGGAGCTGTACTCTGCTAGATGGCACATGGCTCAAACAAAGCGGTCTACTTTTAAAACTAAGTGAAGTGCAGCATAATGTTGCTGTTCTGATCCTCGGGATGATGGGAGTCACTAAGAGGGAATACAATGTTCAGACCATTGACATGTTGTTTATGACACAAGAAATGTCTTGTCTAGTATTGGGTGCAAGTTTTCTGCATGGTGAGCTTTATGGGTCAAGAATAAAAAAAAGTAGTTCCATGGGTCATGACGCTCAGTTCTACTCTCAAAGTTTTTGGGGATTTGCCACCCATGAGGCACTCACAAAAAAACACCAGCAAACAGCTGACTTTGGCAATTTAAACTTATTTCCCCACTTTACTACTACCCCCCCCCCCCCCATTATTCATTTTCTGAAGCAGCGCACAGATCTAAAGGTTTCTAATTACGATGTAAACATCCATTATGGGCATTCGATCTCCTTCAGCACAAGATTACCGAACAAGACTTCTGACTAAACTGAGTTTAAGAGCTCCTAAAAGGCACAATTGAGGAGACATCACGAGCTGCGGATGGAAAAATTGTAATCATTTATTAAATGACAATGAAAACAACTTAAAAAAAAAAAAAAAAAAGAGCGGAATTTGAAATAGCTTGGAGTCGAAATCTGTTAAAACTACTGAAACCATCAGCCTGGACACAATTCCTGCAGCTATCAAGGGTCAAAGGGGATTACTTGGAGAGTGCCTCACAAAGCAAAGAAAACACAGAATTTTTGTAAACAAAGGGATGCAATAAGTTCTCTGATTGAATTTTAGAGTCTCACACCAAGGATGCAGGCAGCGTGTTATCCAGGATCTCAGATAACCTCAGAGTCAACCTCAGCTTATCAGCAGTCATCCAATCAACCAGTCACTTTCTACTGTGGGCTGTGATGTAGTGAGACATGGAAGTGTGGTTTCCAGCTTGTAATAATGAAAATGCAAAAAACTAAATAAAAAAAACACCACGGTGAACACCAATCATGTGTGTCAATTCCTTAAAATAAATATCTTGCAATTAGCTTAGCCAACACACTTCATACACAGAAGTAATATCTCTCTTCTCAAAGCAACTATCAACTCTTCCAGTTAACTATTTCTATTTCTCCTGCAATATACATTTAAATTTAAAAAAATTATTAAATTATTAAATTATAGTCATGTCTCTTTTAATCCATTTCTTTCCCTGTCTCCTGGAGATGTAAAAATAAATATTGCATGTGCACTATCAACTTTCAGTCACTCATAGTTGTTCCATGTGGTGTTGGTTAAAAGCTAAACTAAAGCTGAGTCGTCTAAAGTGGGACATGAAATAAATGTTAACTGCACCACTGTCGCAGTCAGGGTCAGTGTGGCCCCGGCTCTGACTGCTTCCCACTGATCCGGAACATCATGCTGCTAACTCTCTCATGTCCTCACTGTAAATAGCTCAGCATAGTAGCTTCAACTTAAATATCGTGCAAATAACTTTTAAAAATTGCATTTACGGTTGTATCGATCCGCTTTATCTGGAAATAAACTTGCCCGTGAGCTGGACTCTATTTTGTTTTAACTTTAGCTGAAACAATAACATGAGGCTCGGATGGATCCACCCTAGCGCCATCATTTTGTCACACTTTCCCCTGGAGCGGAGAGTTTGGTTGGCGTGCTAACCAGCTAGCCGCTGAAGCTAGGCGCTGTTGTTTTCACTTGAAGAACAACGGCGGCGCCGGAAAAGTTGAAACCAAGAAACGTGAACCGTCAACTCACCGGGGTCTGCCGGGGTCTTCATCTTCGCTGTCGTCTACGGCGCGTTGCTTCGGTCACTTTGCTCGTCGACTCGTAACTTTAGCTCGCGTTTAGCCAAGTGAGCTAGCCGAGTTAGCAGTGACACCCCACTCCTTCCTCCGGTGTTGTTCTCACAAGTGGCTCGTTAGAAAATAACCTGCCCCGACAATGTGCTTGTTTTTAAGTTGAAAAAGAAACCAGCTAACTTCACATACGCTTCTGCGTTTTATCTCGACACATCAGCGTTTGTTGAAAAAGTTTTGTTTCGCAATATCTGTACGCAGCGTCTGATGCCAAAAGTTGCCCCGAGCCTCTGGGGGGGGGGGGAAATCCAGTCGCCCGGGTCTGAATGGCGCAGGTCGAAGTTTGGAGGAGTCGTGCTGCCGTCGGTCGTACTGGAGCAGCGGAATGCGACGAGTCTAAACGTTCATCCCGTCTGTTGAAACGATGTCGCATGGTCGATTCCTCCTCCACATCATCATCCTCACCGACAGTCACAACAGCGGCGCTTCTGAAAGGAACAAACAAACCAAACCAACTCCGCTCTTTCTCTGCCCCTCTCTTTCTCCGGCAGACTTTTTCTTTTTCCACTGCACTCACTTCGTGTTCTCTCAACCCCCCCCCCTTCTTCTGTCGGGTGTCGTGTTTCGCTCTCCTCCTGCCACACGGGGCCGCCCACGCTGACCCACGGAGGGAGGGAAGGGGTGAGGAACTGAACGCCCACTTGTTGCCAAAGATCGTTTATGGAGTGTGAATGTTCATGGTGGATTCAGTTTTCCTTTCTGGAAGGAGGGGGGGGGGGGGGGATCAGGGAGTAGATAAAAGTGCAACAATTAATCTTATAAAGTTATGGTAGTATATGTTGCAAAAAAAGTTTCAGCCATAAAAAACAGATAAGATGTAATATGGTTTCAAAATTATTAATGGATAAGCAAATTAGTTTCTGACTTAGATTAAGTAGGATGGTCAACTACACCTGTGGACTAAACGTTTCAGGGAGCCTATCGTGTGCGTGAACAGTGATGCTGCCAATAACGACCCAATCAGTTAAATAAATAAAAAGCTAATTCAATTAATTATATAAATAACATGAATAAAACACACTGTGTATGTAAAGACACAAACACGTGTCTGCTGCAGTTTGGTTTATGTTTGCGAGTTAATTAAATAAAATCACTAATCCCTTTTTTTATTTTATTCCGAGTAGCTCATCATCTTGATAGACGATCTTCGATGAGGACCAGTCGCTGCTCTGCTGCCCGGAGTTACCGTCGCCGCTGCCTCCAGTTTATCGCCCCGCTCGCTCCCGGTTGGCGCGTCACGGCGTTGCCGTGGAGACCCGCTGCAGCCGCGAGGTGCCGTGTTTACCTGTAAATTGCGACGGAGAAGCGGCCAGGGAGCCGCCGCCATCCGCTATGCACACACGGGGAAGGAAGGAATGGAAAGGGCCAATCAACAGGTGTCCTTTATCCCGCAGGAACGGACGGTGGCCGTGTGCATAGACTATAATTATGAGAGGACTTATTAGCATTATGGGCTCATCACACACACACACACACACACACACACACACACATCTCTTTTCTCCCACACTCCCTTCTCCCTCTCTAATGAAGGGCCCTTCAGCACTTGCATCAGCTCTGAGGAGGCAGCAGATAAAGAGAGAGAGAGGGCGAGAGAGAGAGAGAGTGGAGTTGAAAGAAAGTAGCGGTAATTACTCAAGAGCGTAAAGTGGAAAGCGAGGAGCGGGCTGAGCCGAAGTGCGCATGGGAAGGAAGTGAAGTGGAGAAGAATAAGTGTGGATTGAAGGTAGCTCCTTTTTTCCCTTACTCTTTCTTTCTTACCCAATCAGTCATCACACTTGTTTCTGTCTCCCGTCCATCCACCCATCCCTCCCTCCCTCCATCCTCTGCTCTGCTCATTTACTTTGAGTGGCAGTGTGTGGGAGGTGAAGGCCAGCCGGTGGGTGAAGTATTTCATGCGATTGTCACACACACACACACATGGAGTGGTACAATAAAAATACAACAGAAAAAAACATCTCCTCTTTCTGCTGTCACTCCTTTGCCTCCTCTCCTCCACTTCCTCTCCTCCTTGCCCCCGTATATCACACTCCTACTGCTCTTTCACTCCTCTGCTCTGCGTGGATCCTTCATCCTCCTCAGTTTTGTAACCATCACCTCCTACTTCATTTTGGCCTACACCTCTCATCTTCTCCTCCTCTACCTCACTTCCTCCTCTCCTCAGCAGTTCTCCTCCTGCTTGCCCCGCATGACGCTTCGTTAACACCTTCACCACAAAACCTCTGACAAAGAATCTACAGGTGTGTGTGTTATGTTTATGATGATCCATCTGTTGAATATAGATTAACAGAATAGTTTTGACATTTGACATTTTTTGCTTTATTTTTGCTAAGAGTTAGATGAGAAGATTGATGCCCCTCGTCTGTCTGTCTCCTCAATTTAAGGCGACAGCTGCTGCGTCTGTTTAGCTTAGCTTAGCTTAGCTTAGCACAAAGACTGGAAGCAGAGCTTAGCTTAGCACAAAGACTGGAAGCAGAGGGAAACAGCTAGCCTGGCTCTCTCCAGGCTAGCTACGGGTCCACGGGTAATAAAATACGCCTACCAGCTCACTAATTTAACAAGTTATTTGTCATTTCCTAATACGTCGTGGTTTTCCCCCCATTTCCAGTCTTTGTGCTAAGCTAAGCTAAAGCTAAACTAACCGGCTGCTGGCTCTGGCTTCATATTGAACAAACAGATATGAGAGTGGTATCGATCTTCTCATCTAACTCTCTGCAAGAAATCAAATAAATGTATTTCCTAAAATGTCAAACTTCCCTTTTAATTGTTTAAAGAAGAAATTGCGTCTTAAAAATGTTTGGGTTTTTTTGTCGGACAAACAGTTCACTATCAGACTAAGAATACAAGCAAATATTCACACCTGAGAAGTGGAATTTTACCTTTTGAAAATGAAAATCAACTCAGAGATGAATCACAGAAGACACATTGACATATTACAGTATGAATAGTACATGTAGCTAACACATTAATAATGGCTGAATCCCATTTACCTGCTTCAGCTTCAGGGTATTGTGCATAATGGGACACTTGAATAGAACAGAGCTATTCTAAATGTTATTAACTCGTGTTTTTTTCGGACATTACAACATTCAAAATGTCTGCTGTGAAAAGGAACTAATTGATTCAGCTCTACATGCGTGAGGTTGTCACTTTTCTCCTCTCTGCTCTGCTGCTGACCTTTTGCTCCACCCGAGGACACGTCGGGACAAACACCTCGAGGAAGTGAAGTGTGAACGATCCCGTCGTGTCTGGTCTGCCGCTCAGCATGACGACATCAGTTTGTTTCAACTCCACCAACAAACTTGCATCCACCAGGCTTTAGGAAACCTTTTCTACGTCCAACGCACCCAAAGAGGAGCAGGTACTCACTAATCTGCTCTGCAACTGAAAGACTATCAAAAGTGCAACCAGTTTACCAGAAAAGATTCCTAGTTAATAATGATATAATGCAAATTTCTGGTTTCGTTAGAGAGATTTAGTGTTCTGCAGACACAGATACGTGTAGGCGAGAATTATATATAAACCAAAATACATCTTCCCACCAAACCTGCATTCAAAAAACAGTAGTTTATATTAAAATAAAATAAAAGTGTTGATTCTTTAATGTTCACTGCTTTATGTCTAAAGACTTCACAGCACGTTGGGGCGATATATGAGAGTTAGTCTGATGCGGTACTAAAGTGGCTGGTTGAACGTTGCTTTTCTGCATTACAGCAAGAAGTTCCAGACTGGTTTAAAATGATTGGACATGAACGAGTAATTAACATTCATATTCATTAATATATTTGCCTAGAACCAGTATCTTGCTTTGTGTATTTTGCACTTTTGTATTTGTCTTATGTATAAGATATGAGCCACTGTGTTTACCGCCTTTTTGTTTCAAAAATCTAAAAAAATAAATAACAAAATGTTGCAGAAAGTATTCCTGCAAGACAAATCAGTTCCAAAAACAACAGAACACAGATTTGGAGGGGAAACAAAGTCACCCTAAGTGTGATGATGGGAATATTGACTAAATAACTTCCGTTCAAGTCCCTATGTTTTGAGGCCAATTCCTTCACTCACAACAAGACGACTTGAAGTCGAGCTGTGTCCTCGCTGGCCGGTTGAAAAGTGGAAATAATAGCTTGTTGATGCAACAGGAGGGTCACCGAGCAGACTGTGATGCAGACACCCGGCCGCATGCGAAAGCAACGGCAACAAAAGCTCAGTGGGAGACCTGACGGCCACATACGTGTGAATTGGTGGGCTGATTGGGACTAACACGTCACCAGAGTGGCCATCGGTTCATTACTGAGGTGGTAATGCCCCTCATCAGCAAACAGGACTTCATGAATGAGGATGTTCTTAAAGACGTGTGACCGGTGGGGTTTTGGTGATTATGCTCGTATTTTGGTTTCAGTACTGTTGCTCATTAGATGGGATCATTAACTTAACCCAATGTCAATGGGCTGCTTTGACACAGTTTCACTATTATTTTTATGTCACTGTTGGGTTATTTACCCAAACTAAGCTTTACCTTAAAACTTGAAAAATAGTTGTTTTTTTTGACAAAAGTATGTGTATATACCATTTTAAACGGCAATTGGTACACATATTATTTACAATCAGTAACAAAAATAGTTGCATATGCTTTTTAAAAGAGGTTGAGTGGATTATAACGTTTCATAACCATACCGTATTTTAGTAGCAGTAACATAAAAACATAACCCCATCTACAACCCATAGTTGTGAGTGTTTTTCTACCATGTAAAGTAAAGTAAAGCCTTATTACGTTGACCCAAATTCTGTTGATTTTGACCCTGTGCTTTTTATGTGTGTTTGGGGAAAAAACACTGAAATGTACCTTTACTCTGTTTTTTGGGGTTCGGTCCCATTAGCAAAGTCCCAAATAGAGCTACGGTCACGTCTTTGTTTTCTTTCCTTCTATAGGTTAATAGGTTAAGTGTTTTCTATCCGAGGAAATCTGCCGTGTTTTTAAAATGGTAAAATAGGCCCGAGGGGGCAAATGGTGCAAACCGAGCCACACCTCAGAGCGAGCGGCGCTCGGTCTCGACAACAAAACTGTAATGGGAGAGGCCTTTTCACACCAGCCCATCTGTATGCATAAGAAAGCACTCTCTCTCTCACACACGCACACACACACACACACACACACACACACACACACACAGCAGTTGAGTCAAAACGAGGTCGCTCGTGTGTTCGTGACAGCAGAACGCGCTCGAGTGGCCGGAGGGGAAAGTTTCTGCCTGTTTCGGAGTGATGAAGACATTTTCCATGTTGTGTTCCTCTGCTCTGCACCATGAGCTTATGTTTGTGGAATAAGGAGGCCCTTGTGTGTGCGTGTGTCTGTCTGTCTGCCTGCTGGCTGGTCAGATGATGTCTGCCTGTCTGTCTGTCTCGCTGCTGCTCTTGTCTGACACACAAAGCAGCGGGACACGTACAGAGAAGATGGAAAAACGGTGGGAAGAGACACGTGGAGAGGTTTTTTAAAAGAAGGGAAAGACAGAGGTCAGGAGAGGAGAGCTGAGGAGAATCTACCGGGGATCAGTAGAGGGGGAGGGTGAGAGAAAGAAAGAAAGAGAGTGCGTGAGAGAGAGAGAGAGAGTGAATGGGCCCTTTGTGATCAAAAGGCTTGTTTATTTTCTTGGCGCTTGAACTCCTCAGGAGCCACATTGGGCCTGTCTGCCCTGTCTAGCTCCCATCCTCGTCACCCTCCCCGACATCCCAGCGACAGGCCCTGAATCATGAAGAGGAGCCGGGTCACTTCAGAACCAACACAAGCAGCTTTAAAACATGGAACGTGGAATTTGAAGTGGTTTGAAACTGGAAGACGACCTCCTGGGCGCTTGACCGGAGTCACAATAAGAGAAATTGACTCGTACTGCTGTATTTGACCTTTTTTCTGAGGTAGTAAGCATTACTGTACTTAAGTATTGTAATACAGTTTAAGGGTACTTGTGGTATTTCCATTT